CCTTTCAGGTCCCCACCAGCCACGCTGTGTTTACCACTCCGTGACCTTAGCAGCCCCAGATCTGCATTTACGGCGAATCCAAGGGCTGAGGAGGGATGGCTCCGTGCTTTGCTGGGTGCCTCAGGCTCCGGTCTGAGCGTCCTCTGTGAGCCGGGATGAGGTGACAGTGATGGTGATCATCGCCATCATTACGGATGATCCATCTCTCTCTCTCCCCATCTCTCCCTCCGCGGAGTTCAAAGCCTCAAAGCCAGAGCCGCGCACCGTGGGGAGCTTCCCAGAGCTCCTGACTCGCTCGACAGGACGGTGGCGAGCACCTCGTGATGTCCGCTAGCCTTTAAGGCTCGGCTCTGTCCATGCCCGGCTCCCAACCCGAGGGGATTTTAGGGAACGAGCGTCCCATCAGCCTCATCACAAGGCCCGAAAAACGGGCTCGTGTTCCCCTCCCTTRAGGATAATTAAGGTGTCGTTAATTGGGTGAAAAAAACCCCTGACGAGTTCCCCTTTTCGAAGCCCCGGGGTCCCCCGAGGATGCGCGGCACAGCCCGGAGCACCTGCAGGGCTCGAGAATCGGGGCCCGCTGCGTCACAAGACCGAGAGGAGCGGGGAGAAGTCACCCGCTGTCAGGTGACAGCGTGACACGGTCCCGGCCCCAKGGGGGGTTTGGGCACGGGGATGGGGGTGTGGCTGCTCTCAGCACCGCACAGACCCCAAGGGAGGATCGGGGTGGGGCAAGGAGCCATTCCTGTGTCCTGTCCCTCCATCCCTTGGCCCCAGTCCTTCTCCGAGCTCTCCTGGAGCCGCTTTAGGATCTGGAAGGGGCTCCGAGCTCTCCCTGGAGCTTTTTCCTCTCCAGGTGAGCGCCTCCCGCTCTCCCAGCCTGGTTGCAGAGCTGCTCCAGCCCTTGGAGCATCCCCGTGGCCTCCTTCGGAATCGCCCCAGCAGCTCCAGCACCGCAGGTGGGGTCTCACCCGAGCGGGACAGGGGTGCAGTTCCACGTTCACGGAATTCTGATGCCAACAACGATCACCCACATTACCGAAACAGCCGGCTCGGGACGGGGTTCACCTGAGGCAGGTGTGTGGGATGGCAGAAAAAAAAAGTGAAAYCTCTCCGCTGCAGACTCCATCCAGCCCGGGCTGTAATTTAAAACCATCCAGAGCATCCCAGGTGAGAATCTCTTTTTTTTCCCCCCCTGCTCCCGTTGGGTAAAGAATTCTTCTCGGGATGCTCTGACCCATTAAGCCGAGCTGTAACTAAGCCAGTCCAACCCCCATGCGGCCGTTTCCGTGCCAGTCCGGGTCTGCCTCSGTTGATTTTGGCTTCAGGCCGTTCCCAATCAGACCGCTGTCGGTGCCTGAGCTGTCCCGCTGTCACCAGCCGGGTTTACCKGCAGGTCCTCATGACTCAGGGAGCTTTAAACCCAGCCTAAACCCCACCGCGAGGGTTTGGGGTGCACCCACAGCCCCGGCCGCCCCGATGGGGCAGGAAACAGCGGCATTCCCAGCGGGATGCGGGTGCCATTCGTGTCGCGGGGGACAGGTGGCGGTTCACATTGCGGTGTCACTGTCATCCGCGGGGGACAGACCCACCCGGTGGGGTCCCACTCACGGGGATGTTGAGTTTTCCAGTGCAGGCCGAGGAGCTGCTCGCTCCGGAGCAGGAATTGCCCACGGGACCCTCGCCCAAAAGGCTGAGCAAACCCGCAGCCCTCCCCGACAAATCAGGAGGAACTGGGGGGGTGTTGGTGTTACCGGATATCAATTGATGGTTGAGGAGGGGCGGTTTAATTTTGGGGAGGGGTCTCTGCGGGGCGTGGGAGCCGTGGGGCCCCGCAGCATCCCCGGCGCTGCGGCTGCGGGCGCGCTCCCACCGTGGGAATGCGGTGGCGGGGAAGGACGGGGGACACGCTTGGGGGACACGCTTGGGGGACACGCTTGGGGG